ATTATTATCAGCTGGCTACCATGGCATCACCCACCATAGTCCTCGAATTTCCAGCTTGTTTCTTTCATCTTTCTCTCTCTCCCTGTTTCTTATTTCACCTTTTCGTTCCTGTGGTTCTGTTGCATCTTTTTTCATCATCCTGTACTCCCTGCCTCTGTCTCTTATTCCCTATCTCGCTCTCTTATTTCTGAATTTCGCTTCTCACTCAGACGCCTGGTGGTCCGGTCTCGTGGCTGCATGGTGAAGGTCACACTGGAACACTAATCACCAATGAAAGACAAAAAAAAATTATAATCTGAAAGAATTTAACAGCCCCCTCCCATCCTTCATTCCTTCCTCTCTCCATCAGCTCTCACCCAGTGTTCCCTCTCTCATTCACTGGTTTTTAAATCCAATCTTCTTTATGGAAATACGTTCTTGCCTGACACCTTCCCTCACGTTGGATTTTTTTTTTATGGTCTTTAAATTCTTACAGTTCTTAAGGCATACTTTCTCCCTCCTTCCACCATGATACACTACTTAGCTCAGTTGCCAGGCAGAAAATGGTCATGAGCTTATCCTTGTTTACACGTCTCTATTTCATGCTGACCCCTGTTAAGGAGTTCTCTTGTAGTCTCGTGTGGAAAGTGACAACAGTGGAAAATCCCGCACATCATTTTAAAACTAAAATCTAAGTGTCTGTTTAACCCACAAGTTCCACCACAGCACTCAGGTATCAGCTTTCACAATAAATGAAAGCTTCTTTGCCGGCCGACACATTCTTCCAAATGTTAGACTGAATACACAAATAACTCGAGATGAAATGTAATCTATAATACAAATGTCTGGTTGTAGTTAGTCCCTCTATATCCAGAGTCTGAGCTCAGTTTTCTTTAACTTTGCATCCTAAAAATAATATAAGATACAGTTGTATATATTAATCTTAAACCAACATTATATTGATTCTGCTCTTTGCACCGTTTTGTCTGACGCTGTGCTAACAGTTACAGAAATGCCTCCTAGCTGAGCACTAGCACTGCCAGCCACAATAGAGAACAACAGAGAGTGCAACTAGGGTCTTTGTCTTATACGAGACAATTGCACAAGAGGTTTGAAAGCTGATGGTGTCACTGAGAGAGAGTTAGACCCATGCAACAGACAGATTAGCGTCAAACTGTGTTTTAATGCTTTCTATTCACACAAAGATGGCAAGCAGAAAAAGGTTTAAGCGTGCCACATAAATCTTAATTTCTGTATTTTCAATTATTGATAACATGCGTGTCACTAAGTGTTCATTATGTTATTAACCCCACCACCTGTTCTCCAAGTTCTCCATTTCAGTGTTTAATTGTTCATTTATCGTATTGTTTAAATCTTTGGAAAAAATTTAAAAGAGGCCAGTGATCAGTGGTATGGCAATTACTACAAGTAATAGCAGTAGTGAATACTGGAGATTTCTGCAGTTGGTTAATGATTATCTGTGTAACTTCTTTGTCATTAACAGGGGTTTTTAAAGAATAGAAGAATTACAGGAGACTAATTGGTGTAATAAGAGGGAAATGGGGTTGATTTTTTTTGGTTAAAGGCTTGGAGGTCACCCGTTCACCCACCCGCCCCGTCACGACTACCCCCTCCCCTCCTTCATCCTCCCTCCTGCCTTGGCCAGTCTCCATGTGCAGGGCTCAGGGCCTTGGGAATGAATGGCGCCCGGGCTCTGCTCCGTCTTTGAAGCCAGCCAGGAATGCGAGGCCTCTTTTTTTTTTTTTTTTT